GGGGCGGGCGGCGGCTCTGCCCCGCCGCGCTGCCTGCGGGCGGCCGGAGCCCGCGGGTCCGCCGGCGGGAACCCACCGGCGCTGCTCCCGGGTGGTGTCACGGCTCTCCCTGCGGGTCTCGGGGCTCCCGGTGCCGTACGCTGGAAGGCCGGGCGGCGAGCCGTCTCCGCAGCGTGCGGGGTCGCTCGTGTGCTGCCCTCGCGCGGGTCGCCCGCTGTGTCACCGCTGCCGCCTCCGCACGGCCCCCGGCCGTGAGCCGAGCCCCCGGCCGGCCCCGGCGTCCCCGCCGCCCGCACCCGCTCCTCACGGCAGCGGCACGGAGCCACCGCGGCGCCGCCGCACTCGGCGAAGCCCCTGCTCACGGAAAGCTGGGTTTGGTGCGCTCAGAGCGTCTGCCCAGGCATCTCCATAACGCCGGCTCTGCGCTAGGAGCTGCGTACGGTAACGCGCTCTCCGGGAGCAGCACCGCCTCGGGCTAGACGGGCCCGTCCCCAGGCTCGTTTGTCAGACACGTTTCAGCCAGATGCCGATTAGGTTACACAAACAGTTGAGAGACTGCCTGCCCGGAGCAGCTCCCCGTCTAATAATGAGCGCATTTGCCATTGTCCTTCTACAGTGAGTAGAGACTCCTAGACAAAACCATACACAAATTTTCATTTGGAAGAATTCTAACAAGACCTTTAATAATTTAATTTTATTTTTAAAATATTTATGAAAGCAATTCCAACACTAGCACAGTACTCTACAACACTACTTTACAGCTAAGTATGCAAAGAATACACCCTTAAAAAAAAAAGTATGCAGCAATAGCAGGGACAGGCTATCGCCAGGCCTTCAGCCAAACTCTTTTTTCATTGAAATAAGGCTGTCACTCTCCTGCAAGCAACAGCAAAAAAAGATCCAAAACAATTCCTACAAGTGACCACAAGGGTCAGTGCAGTCACAGACAACAGTCTTACTGCCTTGAGTCCTCTGCAGACAAACAGGGAGAGAGTCCCTGCTCGCAGGAGATGCTGCTCAAGCATCAGTTTCGCCAGTCCAAGAGACTTATAAGTACTAGGTACTGCTCTAAAACCCCTGCTTGATACCTTGCTCTCCAGAACACACCTAAGTAAAAATACCACATACAAGAGAAATTGAGAAATAGCATTAAAGGAGAAAAAGGTGACTTATACTTTCCCCCCTATCAATATGACATGAATAAAAGGTACTTCACTAAAGCATTGAAAATACTAGCGTTTACCTTAACGTGTTCAGAGTGCATATGAAGAGCAGTCACCCTTCCAACAAACATTGCCACTAAAAGCCAGAGGGAAAAAAGCCCAGAGGAGCCATTCACCCTGAACTTGTAAGAGATGCTGGGGTGGGGCTAATAAATCCAGCTGGAGTCTCCATTTTGCAGGGTGGCAATGAGCAAGAAAGCATGTGGGTGTGGTGGGTTAACAGCTGATTTTTGCCGTGGTGAGCTATTTGAGGAGTAAAAAGCCTTCTTACAGAGACGAGCAGAAATCGATTTTGTTTTTCCCTGTTTAACAAAAGGCTAACAAGTCTTGCTTATGATACCATTGTCTGTGAGGCATTTGTCATGGAAGTAATTGCCCAGCAGTAGCAGCAGACTTTTTGAAGACTATGGATTTATATGCCAGAGGGGACAAAAAACAATGTGCTCTGCTAGAGATACTTTCTGTACAAATTGAAAAGCACATAGAATTCTGAACTTTCTAAGATTCATTCTTACATCACAAAATCATTTTTCACTTAGGTTGAAACGATCTCCAAGATCATTGAGTCCAACCTTTGATCACCACCTTGTTAATTAGGCCAAGGCACTAAGTGCCACATCCAGCCATTTCTTGAACTCCCCCTGGGATCTTGACTATGCCACCCCCCTGAGCAGCCACTTCCAAAGTCTAACCACCTTTTCAGTGGAAAAATTCCTTCTGATATTCAACCTGAACCTCCCCTGGCACAGCTCAAGGCTATGTTCTCTTGTCACTAGTTGCCAGGGAGGAGAGGCAAATCTCCATCCTTTCAGACAGTTAAATTACTTCTGAAGCTGACAGGTCCCTACCAAGTAGGAACCATGCTGGTATTTGCCTGATGTAATAAACATTTATTTTTTCTTTCATTTTCTTGGTTATTAATATCAAACTAATATTTTTTTTTAATATTGGCTTATGTATAACTAGTTGGGTTTTTTTTTAGTGAAGTCAATGAGCATAACCAGACAAATGCATCAGGAATGGAGATTCGCTATTGCCTGACAATGTCAAGAAACGTGATGCCATTTGACCTGTTGTATATATATGTGCAAGTCTATATTCTTGCTTTAATGCATCAAATATCAATAATCCCAAGCAGCTATAATTTATTGTCAGAACAGTATTCAATTAAGATTTTGGTTGGTTTGATGTTATTACTTACTTGCTGCTTGATCAGTTGCGAGAATTTTCCCTAGAAAATGACAGGAACTAAAATCCTATAATATATACATAATCGGTGACTTTTTAAAGGACCAAATCCACGGATTTTTTTCTGTTGAAGGACCTCTTCTCTGTGATATATCTCTGGCTAATAACTACCCATAAGGTACATACATAAGGAGACTTGGAAGCGATCATGCATTATGTGTAGACACTAGATGATAGCAATATTATTTTTTCCTCAGCATTGTGTTTCTCTGATATTACAGAATCAATTAAGTTGGCAAAGACCTCTGAGATCATCAAGTCAGAGCTTTGACTGAACACCACCTTGTCAACTAAACCACGGCACTGAGTGCCATGTCCAGTCTTAAACCCCTCCAGGGACAGAGAGTCCACCAGCTCCCTGGGCAGCCCATTCCAACGTCCAATCACTCGTTCTGTGAAGAAAATCCTCCCAATGTCCATCCTAAACCTCCCCTAGCGTAGGTTTAGACTACGTCCTCGGGTCCTATTGCTGGCTGCCTGGCAGAAGAGGCCGACCCCCATGATACTATAACTCCTCTCAGGCAGTGCCAGGGAGTGACGCAGTCTCCCCTGAGCTTCCTCCTGTCCAGGCTAAACCCCAGCTCGCTCAGCCGCTCCTCACAGAACCCTTCGCTCTCCAGACTCGTCCCCAGCTCCGTTTCCCTTCTCCGGACTCGCTCCAGCCCCTCAGTGTCTCTCCTGAAGTGACGGGCCCCGGCGGCAGGCAGCGCTGGCGGTGTCGCGGCACCCGCGGGGCTCCGGGCCCGTGCTCCAGAGGCTCGGTGGGGCTCCGGGCCCGGGCTCCGGGGGTTCGGCGGGCAGCGCAGGCAGCGGTCCCGGCGGCGCAGCTCGGACCGCCCGCGGTGAGTGCGGTGAGTCCGCCGGGCCGGCAGGGAGCAGCAGGGCGCGAGCGCGGCCCCGCCCCGCCGGGCAGGGCAGGAGCTGCGGCTGCGCGGCGCGCGCGGCCTTTTCCCGTTTGCTGCGGAGCGCAGTCGTTGTGCGGAGCGGGCCCCGGCCTGAGGGACCGGACAGTGCCTGGCACGATGGTCGGTACCGGCACGGGGGGGCTCGGCGACATCGCGTCCGTCGTTCCGCGCCCGCCGCGCAGCTCTACGCGCGCGGATGGAGCCCGATTGTCGCGGGCTCGGGGCGGCCGCCCGGCGCCGGCGTGGCAATGGCTGCCATTCTGAAGGGGCTGCGCCGCGGGCGGCTCGAGGGGCGCCGGCGGGGCCCGGCCCGGCCCCGTTACCGGCTTCGCTGCCTCGTGGGCTGCGTCCTGCGGGGTCCCGCCGCCAGCGGCTGGGTCGGGGCCGAGCCGCGCGGCCGGGGCTGATACAGCCCCCGGTGCCCTGCAGCAGCCGCGCCGGGCCCCGGGCTGCGGGTGTCGGACCGGCTGAGGGCGGGGGGCTGCGGGGGAAGCGGCTCCGTGGCAGAACGTGCCAGAGAAGTCACGGCTGTGCGGGAGTGTCAGGAAATGAGCGCGGTCATTGCTCCTGTCCGTGCGCACGGGCCTTTGGTTAAAAGATACTTTGATAAAAGATACACTTGGGTTTTCTCTTGAAACATTAGTTCCTGTGCAGGGGTAAAATTTACGGGGTTTGATGTGCCGGGTGGTTTTTTTTCCATTTCATTTTTATGGTGCTCTTTTTATCTAAACATACAAAAAAAATCTGTGTAATTCCTGATTGCACTGTGGTTTTATTCGTGGCACGTTTAGTTAGAATGGTGTTGGCTTACAGGGTTATATGTTAATAACACGTAGTTTATGTTTCCTATCCAAGGGGTTTGTGAAAGTTGTCAAGAATAAGGCGTACTTCAAGAGATACCAAGTGAAATTCAGGAGAAGGAGAGGTATTATTAAATTGCCTGTAATACACAATTAAATGTCCTTGGTGAATATTCCTAGTTTGTGCACGCATTTTGCACACTGCAACTGTTGTTTTTCAGAGGGAAAAACTGACTACTATGCTCGGAAACGTTTGGTTATTCAAGATAAAAACAAGTACAACACTCCTAAATACAGGATGATTGTGCGCGTTACCAACAGAGACATCATCTGCCAGGTAAGGCCCGCGGTGTTTGCTGCTTACCTGCCAGCCTTGCCAGGGTGAGGTCAGCACAGAGGGGGAGGCTTGGAGCACCCGAGGTTTCTTAGGCCGGATCTGCACAGTGTTTGTATTGTAAAATAGCTCCTTAGAGGAGGACAATCTTCAGTGTTACTACAACTTCAGTAATAAACCATGTGCGTTGCAGAAAAGAAGTTTCACAAGTGTTAGCACTTTTGCTGTGAGGTTATTTGTTGTGTAAGATTGTACTGCTGTGATGATTCTGGGCTAAGTAGAACATTTTTGGGAGAGGGAAGATGTCTCTGGGTTTGTTTTTTTTGGTTTTTTTTTTGCTATAATTAAAGGGTTTCAAAAAGAGGCCTTTTTTTGCTTGGCTGAAGACAGCCATGTTGACAGTGTGACCTGTTAACCTGCATTGACTTGTGCT